TTTTTTTTTTTATATTTCATCATTACTGCTTCTGGAAACTGATTGAAACAAAAAGAACATGTTGTGTAATTTTTCAGGTTCGTAACTGGATGTTCTAGAGGTCCACTTCTCGGTTTCAAGTACCTTGAACCGAAATTCTGCATACAAAGGTCTGTTCTAGTTTTTCATTCTTTTTTTCTTTTCTTTTTTGTTCTTTTTTCAACTGTTCATATTCATTTGGTACGTGGTGATTGATGCTTTTGCTGATTTGTAGGGCTGCTCCCTTGGATGTCACCCAAGAGTATCTTGATCGCTTACCAACGTCAGCCACTTGCATGAATCTGCTGAAGTTACCACCATATCCAAGGTCTTCTTTATAACTTTGCCTATGCAGATCCATCTCAGAGAAATTCTATTTTTTAAAGTTCATATTAGAAACTCTTTGATGATATCAATATCAATTTGGCTAACGTTCTCTTTTGCTCACGTGTCTTCAGTAAAGATCAAATGCGAACCAAATTGATCTACTCTATAAGTGCAGATGCCGGTTTTGATTTGAGTTGATGAAGGATCCCTGCTGCCTGCACAGTTGTAGAATGGAAGAGGAGGCAGAACCTGTAAATAGATGGTTGTGAGTAGCCTTCACAGTTGTATAGACGTACGCACCTCCCCCGGGTCTGCACACAGAATTTGTTACATAACAACCAAGTGGAAATGTCAAACATCTGTGTCCGTTACGAGTCCATTACATGCAGCATGTAAATTTGATAGTCACCCCGTATCATATTCCGCCAGTTAGAAATTTTGCCGAGATGAAATTTTGCTGAACTGAACAAATTATTAACCTAAAATGGAGAATAATTATAGTGATCATTTTATCTGCAAAGAAAAGAAAAGCAGGTGCGCCTTTTACACTTTATGGATGATGACACAAAGGCCAGTGGGTGTAGTCACTATGGACGATGACAAAATGTTAGTGTACGTGTAGTCATCTCAGGTAGACCACCTGAACATAAGATCGTAAAATTAGATGGATTATGTTCGTTAGTGTCAAAAAAACACTTTTTTGTTTGATCAATTCAAATAGCAAACAGCTGACAAACACAACAAGTACATCAATATAAGCCCGAATCCCATGGTGAGAAACTAGAAGAGAGAATATGTAAATTTTTTAATTCAAATCCTTACCTTATTTTTTTTCTAAAATATTTTTTTTTTCTCCATCACCAATCTATATGCATCTACACTACAAGCTGGAAGAACGTAAGGACGTCAACTTCAGTCGACTTGCGTTCTAGTTTAAAACGACAGCTGTTAAATGCAATAACTCTATGATGCAATACTTTGAGAAGTGATGACTAAAATCAGCCAAAGGTCAGCAAAAATATCCTAGTCCTCATAGTTTCCAGATAATAGATTTAACATATAAATATGCATTAGAACACAATGTTTATGTACTTGCAACAGGGAATCAGAAAGCAGAAGCTTATTTGACATAGGTTAGATCCCATCAGCTCTCTTAGACATTTTTGACAGTAGAATGGCTTTTCCCTCATATATTCAGTGCCGTTTTAGAGGGTCAATAAGAATCTCACTTTAGTCGTGTTTTTTTTTTTTTTTTGTTTCCTGAGGGGCATGAAGTTAAGATTCTAAGCAAATGCTAGCACAGATAGGGACATAGCAAAAGATCAATTGAATCCAGATCAAGTCAATTTGAACTGTGCCATTATTTATAATGCTCACCATAGGCAAAAAAAAAACGAGTTTCTTAAGTTTTTGAGCCTCTAAGAACCAAATCTTCAAAACCAGATGTCCAAACTTATATATTAAATAAGCCTCTTCAAGGCATACAAAAGACGAGGTCTCTTTCACATCCAAATGTAGTTGTTCTACGTATTATTTTCTGTCAGAACTTAGTAATATATGACACACCAACTATGGACTTGAATGGACAACTTTCATCAGGAAATGTATCAAAACTAATCTTATATTGGAACAATGCAGATTGTGAGAATTGACGAGTCACATATATGGCCCACCGTTTCCATTTTTTCCTAAACCAATTTTGGTTGAAAGGAACAAAAGACAAGATCAAAGCAAAATCAGTCAATCAGTACTGCCCAAGGTTGGCTGAAAGCATTTGGGAACTAACCAAGTTGGTAGAAGCAAATCGGGTCCAAGCAAAATTAGCTAAAACCAGCAAAAATTGGCCAAACATGATAATATCAGCTGACAAATGGTTTGAATAAGTTCACGGTTCCAATCAAACCTCACTGGTTCCCTTTTGCTGATGTTTAAAGGGTTGTAATATCTGTTTATAGGCCTGTATTGATTGACAAATTCTAAAAGTTCACAAAAGGCCTATTCGAAATCAAAACAAAATCAAGCCAATCAGCACTGGACAAGGTTTGCTGAAAGCAACTAGGACCAAACCAAGTTGGTTGAAGCAAATTAGGTCCAAACGAAATTAGCTAAAAGCAGCTGATATTGCTCAAAAAAAGATAAATCAGCTGAAAACAGTTCAAATAAGTTCAAGTGGTTCATCCGATTCATTGTGCTAGTCTTCTAAAAGTTATGGCATCCATTCATAGGCATGGTAATTCTAACTGGGTCGATTGATAATTCTGAAGTTTTGAGCAAATAATTAGTCCGTTGAAGACCGAAACAAAGTCATCCAATAAGTACTGGGCAAATTTTGTTGAAAGCAAAGCCAAGAGTTATGGCAACTATTTAGCAGCCTGAATATTTTTATTGGATTGATTGACAATTGGCCAAGTTGAATTTGGGTAATACATTTTTAACGATCTTAAGAGTTTTAAATATTTTCATTGTCATGTTAGTGGCTGTTTTACAAGGTCAACCAGAAGTCCCACATGAGTTGCTTGTGCTTTTATTTTTATGTACTACTTAACACATATCAGATTGGAGTCATTATGAAAACTATTAACACTTGGTATTAGGATCAAAGCCTATCTAAAAACTATTAATACATATCAGATTGGAGTCATTATGAAGACAAGTTTTGGATGATCTTACGCAAGATCACTTAAGTTTACGAAATTTCCTGTTACTTAAAACTATTAACATTTGGTATTAGGATCAAAGCCTATCTAAAACCAGTTCACATGAGATATATATGTGACCAAGAATAACTAGCATCCAATTCTCTCCCTTATTATACTAACCCACTAGCTTTCATTTGCATTTGGCTCCTCAACCACAGATTACCATGTAATGGATGCCTAATATAGTTTTAAGTGGCATGCACGCAAACAAAACCTAGTTACACATCACATAAATTCAAGTCTAGACTAATTATGAATCGATAATTCTTGTTGTAGAACCCAATTCTATGATCTGTTTGATGTGAACTTCTGACCACTTTATTAGTCCATTCTAAACTTATCTAAAATCTTTATTTGGAGAATAACCAACAGCCTCTAGGTAGCTCATAAAAGGACATTCCAACCTTAAAGAAACATGACATGAAACATCAGCATTAAAGTACATTTTAACAGGACAATCTAACTTGAAGAATAGCAAATTTCTTGATGTAAATATTACATCTTAGAAGCGATCTTTGATCCTAACAAATTAAAGCTACACTGATGAAGAAAATAGCCAAAAATTTTGAACATAGACTCGGAAACATTTCTCCTTAAAACCTCCATGAGGCCTTGATAACTTAAAGAGATCTACTCTATCAATGACAATGACAAGATAAAGTTGAAGTCAGCATGAATTCTAGCATTTAATCTGACAGGCAACAGCGCACCTCCTTAGTTATTTGCAGAACGTGCTTATGTTCACGAAAACAAAATGTTATATAGAAATCCTGAAAATCTCCTGCGTTTATTTAAAGGAAGCAGCACAACCTTCTTGCTTTTGGTTTGAGATTTTAGGGTTCTTTAATCAGTCAATTAATCTGAAAGGAATAGTTGCGTCTTCTTAATCAATTATAAGTCACCTCATCGTAACATAGTGGCTATGGTTGTCATCGCATATTATTGGACCCAAAAAGAATTTTACCGGCTCATACAACAACGCCGTACTAAGGTTAAGAGATAAAGAACCACAAACCCGACCACGAAGCGGTATAATGTTTACAAGTAAATGCAAAACCAAGAAGGGCAAGAGGTGCAAGACGATCGAATTGGTCTACAAGAAAAGGATCTCCTTATAGATGGCTCAAATATAGGATCAAGAAACCCAAGAAACGAACCAGATGATCAACTCGTCACGCACAAGAAATGCCCTATGCCCGAAAATTGTGTGGTAAAAGAAAAAGAAAAGGTTAGAAGAGAGGGAGAGAAGGGAGGAACCTTTCCCAGTTGATGTTGGTCTCGGAGCCGAGGACTCTGCTTTCTTGGAGATCGCTTCTTCGTTGGGAAGCGGAATCGAACCCTCGGAGAAAGAAAGAAAGACGAAGAGGAGAGGGCGACGCGCCTCTTTCACAGATTCTTGGGAACGGAAACCGTTTTATACGATGAAACCACGAGAGGAGAATCGAGAAGCTTCCAGTAACCGGGATATTTGCATGTCTGACGTAACGCCGAATCGGAGGCCCGCACACGAGAGGCAGCATTACCCTGATGGGTTTCATGGGTGACTGTTGATAACGTCACTGGACCCCACGGCTGAACACCAATGGGAGAACCTCCTATAGTGCGCGGTCGCTCTATAGATGCAGCGGCTCCCACTCAAATTCTCCGGCGTGCGTCTTCGGAGCCACGCGTCTCGCCTGGTAACCCATAGCTGCCCCGTCCGGAACAGCGTACACAGTTATCCTCGAAGGGCACCACAGTACTCTGATGGGGGGACCCCAGCAAGATGTACAGGGATCTCCGTGTTCTTTGTCTCGGGCGAGACAGGTGATCTCCATCTTGTGGCAGCAACATGATTTCCAAGAGGGAGGATGAACAGAAGAAAGTAGCTTAACAGACCAACATCACAACCATGCATGCAGGAATATTTAAGCACTGAATTGTAGACCATCTCATGTAAAATGCAATGTGTGAATC